GATTATTTTGATGTTACATCATTGCCTTTTCTCTTTTACTTTTCTTTTTAGTTTTATTTTAGGATTCCCTATTTTTAATGTTCATACAGAGATTTTTTTAACTGAAATACCGAATAGTTTCTTTGGTGTGAAAAGCTATAATAATACACAGGATCCTAATGAGATAATTAATAATGTGAAGTAGGAAGTAAAGGGCTAAAGGTGTAAGGAAAGTGGGAAGGGTGGGGGAAAGGTAATAAGGGAGAGGAAAAAAATATGAGAAACTGAAAAAATGGAAATAAAGTGTTTGTAAATGCGGAGGGGAGGAGGGGTGAAGGGAGGGCAGGGACCAGGGGAAAAATGAGAATCAAGACCTATTATGTAAAGGTACAGAATCCCAATGATGAATGTAATTGTATTGTATACCTAGATTGTACCAATAACCTCAATAAAAAGAAAAAAAATAATAAAAAAGAGTCCGGCCTCAATGTGTATCCATTTAGTTATAAATCTCTCTAGTTTCTCATTCTTTATGGCTGAGTAGTATCTGTCTATCTATCATCCATCTATCTATCTATGTATCTATGTATCTATCTATCTATCTATCTATCTATCTATCTATCTATCTATCATCTATCTACCTGGCCACATCTTCTTTTTCCAGTCTCCAGTTGATGGGCATTTGGGCTGTTTCCAAGTTTTAGTTATTACAAACTCTGCCACTATGAACATGGGTGCACATATATTACTATGGTATGATTCTTTAAATTCTTTTGGAAAGACACCAGAAAGGAAATAGCTCTAATCCTAGTGTTTTGAGATATCTCCATATTGATTCCCACAGTGGTTGCACCAGTCTGCACTCCCACCAATAATGGAGAGGGGTTTCTTTTTCCCCACAACCTTGCCAACATTTGTTATGGCTTAATTTCTTGATAGCAGTCATTTTTCCTGGGGTGAGGTGGAATCTCAGCATTGCTTTCATTTGTATCTCTTGAATGACCAGTGATGTTGAACATTTTTCCATGTTTATTTGCTATTTCTACTTCTTTGAGAAATGTCTATTTATTTCAGATGCCCGTTTTTGGATTGGGTGTTTAAATTTGGGAGGTCTAATTTTTTAAAGTTCTTTATATATCCTAACTTGGTCATTTCTGGTTCAGCACAGTTTTCACATGATTCATCCATTTTAGGTGTGTATTTATATCCCTATTTGATTCATTTTCTCATCTGTTTATCCATTTATCCTGTTGATAGAGCCTGCCTACCTGTATGACTGCCTTCTTTTCTTCTTGCCTTCCTATTACAAACAATACTGGCCCTTTTTATACAAGCTTCCTAATTTACCCTATATGATAACTATTCAAGAGGCTATTAAACTCTTGAAATGCACCAGGTTCAAATTGCGATGTGCAGCAGCTATAAAATAAACTCTTCAAGATCTTAGTATAAGAAAAGAAGATGTGGATTTTTTATAAAATGGAGTACTACTGAGCCATAAAGAATGAGAAAGTAGAGACATTTATAGCTAAGTGGGTGCACATTGAGGCCATACTCTTAGGCAAAATTAAAGGACACACATGTA